TTATCTCTAACTCTATGTGATCCAACCTTGAAACTAGGGTTTGTTAGTTTTAAACCTTCACATTCCACCCTTATAGTAAATGTGACCTCAAACTGATGATAACTGAAAGGTATCTTTTTATTTCACCCTATTATGGTGAATTTGAGATGGTCTAGGATTATTTGCAAGATTAAATAGTAGTCGGTAGGATTATTTGAGGTATTTTTTAGAATTTATTTTTTTTTCAAAAAAAAAAAACGGTTCATTTTTTGTTTTTCAAAATATTTTTTATGTCACATTTCTAAGACAATCGCTGATAGTAGGCAAACCCATTAGATGATATGTGTTTAAAATTTGATTTTTATCAAAAATATTTGATTGGGTGGTTGATTATTTTTTTTATTTCAGTTTCAGTTTCGATAGCAATCTAAATACAATTTTTATTAATGAAGTTTATTTAAAGAGTAAAAAAACTTCATGAATATAAATATTGTTTTTTTTATTTATCTAAATAATATTATTTATTTTTATTAAATACATTCTATCAATTTAATCATTTTAAAAAGGAGATTATAATCAAATCTCAAGTTGAAATTTAGAATAAAAAATCAAAAATATAATCGATTGATATATTTAAGCTAACTCTAATACTATATTTTATAATCATATGATTCAAGAGAGCAGTAATGAAAAAACTAATATAAATTTTTGCTCAGATAACAATTATATAAAAAGGAAACAAGAAAACCTTAAAATAGACTTTTGTATAAGGATGTAAAATGTATGCAAAATATGGAATTCGTAAAAGTTGTTAATAACTTTAAAATAATAAAGACTTATAATATAGATTTTTTAAAATGAAATAAACAAACTTAGTTTCATTAATTTTATATTTCTATATTTACTAATGTTTGCTCTTCAATTTTTTGATTATAGGTTACTTATTTAATAAGAAGCTAAGAGTCTTCAATGAGAATTTTAATTTCATTGTATTATAAAAATGATTGCTTAAATAATGGAAAGAAACCCACATAATTCATCTAAGTGGAACATTAATAATTATAGGATTAAGTTTTTAGGGAACCACTACAACTATTGCATTTATTAAAGCTTGCTAACATTTTTTTATCACTCTAACATTTAACTTATATTATAAATTTTAAAGGTGAGACATTCTTATCTACTATATAAGCATAATTTCCATTAATTGTATAAATTTAATTTAATGAGGCAAATTCAACATAAAAAGTTGGGATACTTGATATTTCAGGATTAAACTTCCTGCTTGTTCTTAAACTAAAACATTCTAAAGGTAAATAAGAAGTTGTAAATATATATGATACCCAAACTTAAGAATGACTATTTGGAGTGTCCAAGTTTCCCCCTTATATGATTAAAATATTATGTACATTTTCCCCATGTATATTAGAGAGTCGTACCAGTATTTGTGAATACTGCATTTAATCTGACACCATCCAAATTTGGGTAATCAAATCCTTGTAATGCCAAGACAAACCATTTTTAAGGTTATATAGGGATCACACTACTAGTGTATAAGGTTTATGAGGTTTATAATCCTAAATTAATAAAGGCTTCCTCTATCCCTACAACAACCTAATAACCTACCTATTTTAAATTTTCTATTTTTCCAGCTACTCTTGTAATTCCAACTGTGACTGAATTTGTTGTAATTTAAGTAATCTGAATATACATTTCAACATATTACCGATAATAAGAAGTCGATTGGCCCAGTGTAATAGATACTTGTTAGTACTATAAATGCTGTTTAAGCATTTGGATTTTTTATAGAAAAAGTTTTATCTACTGGATCATTCATATTAAAATTATTTAAAACCTCAACTCTTTGATCATCTATAGCAAACCATCGAATGTAAATTGTTGTCATCTTTTAAAAACCACATTTTATATACATATTGAATGCTAAAATTTTAAAAATATTTACAAGTCTAAGTGATAGAGGTAATTGACAACTAGTATTCCATAGAATTACCGTATAGATCATACTTTTCAGAAGTGAAAAATACTTATGGGATATTTTCAAAAGCACCTGAAAATGTGGTTGTAGCTGTTTTTGTAAATCCATTTTAGCAGTAAAATCCTGATCCAGTATATTAATCAAAAGCTTTGCTTAAACCACTATCATAAGTTATGAAACTTATTGCAACCTTGACTTAACAAAAAAACAACAGTTCTAATATCATTTTAATTAATAAATTTGAATTGTATTATTAAATATATCAACTAAATTTCTGTGTAATTATATTAATAAAACTTTTTTTTATATTAATCTATTTTTATCTGATTTATAGTAATGTAAAAGTACTATCAAATTTCTGAATTTATGACAATAGTTCTCAACTATTATGTTAACATAAGAATCAAGAATTTTAATAGTTATTTACTCATTTCTCAGAGCTTATTAAATTTAAAACATTATTTAAATAATGAACTATTGTTAATTAAATATGTTATATTAATAATAATTAAACACTATTTGATATTAACAGAGACAAGAAAGTGTTAAATCGGTATTTAGTAATCATAAATTTATGAATATATAGTCTTAATTGTTAATTGTTTTATTATAAATATTTATATTCAAGTATTAATGATAATAAATATTAAATAATAAAGATGGTACTAATTTAAATAATAACTATTCATTCATGAATAATTGTTCCAACAATTTTAATAAATAAAGAATCAAAGGAAAATAAGAGTCTAATATCAAAACATTATTTCATCAAATTCTAATAGAAATTATAAGATCAATTTACAAAATTGATGGAAGCTATGATGATTGTTAATCATACATATAAAAATTTCTTTCATTCATAGGTTATAAATAAAAACATTAGAACAATAACTGCAAAATATACTCTAAAACTATGAAAGAATAAATCAATTTATATTAACCTTAGACTCTTGATTATAATGATTAATTAAATCTTTCAAAGACTAAAGAGACTATTAAGAATACTTCAGAGTTAGATTCATTTAAATTTTAATGTTTGAAGTATAACTATGAATTTATTTAATGAAGTGGCTAATAAAAGTGTGATACTATATTAAAATATTAGTTTTTATTGAATTAATAGAAGAATTTTGTAGAATAGGACACGAAAACCTTAAAATTTGCTATTATGATAATGGAAAACTTTATACAGCATAATGCAATTGATTCTAGTGAAGAATCAATTAAAAAATTTAGAAATAAAAGCTAGAGGGATAACAAATAAATTATTGGACTAATTCTTTGTGTTATGACTCATTTTGATTTATGTGAAAATCTAGATTACGATAGAAGAGAATAAAAAAAATCCTTAAAATATTTTTTAGATAAAGACGAAGAACGAGTTGTGTTTAGCAACAATTAAGAATAAGCTGGTTAAGAGGTTAAGAGGAAATTCATCAGGTAATCTCAAAAAATTGTTGAAAAATACTAATATAATGAACAATTCACATTTAAAAATACGATATTTGAGAAGAATATTAAAGTTTTTAACAATCTCTAAATAAATTTGAGATTACTTTGAGTTTAAGTGTTACGTAAGAGTTATTATTAATATTTTTTATATTTATCACTTTCTATTGTTATATAATTAGATAAGTATAATGTATTTAAAAATATTTGCTATTAATAATATTGACAAACAAAATTTCATTTAACAATTGATTATTTTATTACATTATACATCAATACTTCTTCAATAAACTAGACTGAATGATATTTAAAAATAATCTTTTTTACTTATCAATAATAAAATAATCTATTGATTCTAAAATACTTTTGATTACAAATGTAAAATACTACATAAAGTCTTTAAGTTTGTTTATTAAAAAACTTTTTTAAATTAATTACAATAACATGATGTTTAATATTTAATACTAAATTAAGAGAACAAGATCAAAAAATAAAAAAGTATATGCAGTCATTATAGAATTGAATTGAAATAATCTAAATAATTCTGTAAAATATTTTAACAATAACCATCCACTGAATACAAAAGTCCTTCTTTATCTAAATCTATTAATTTTTATTCAATAGAAAATATCACTGATTATACTTCTATTAAAATACAAAATTCAACTTATGCAGCAAATATATATTCAAATATTAAATCCTTTTTCATTTTTTATTTTTTTAATCTAAAAAATTATAACCAAATATAATTATTCACAAAAATGTGTTTTTAAAAATAGTGAATACAATTAACAAAAGGCTTAAAAGGAATCATCAAAATCTTTTTGTTGTTTTTAAAAGACTTTTGGATTAACTATATAGACTCTTATGATTATAAATTTAACAACTGTTTTTATTAATTAATTCAAATTCAAAAAACAAATAAAATAATGGACTTCATTATAAAAATTGGTGTGGATGGTCATCAATTTCTTCTGACTCTTCCAGCAGAGAATAAACGGTATTTATTGTGTATAAGATTTTAGATTACAATACTTATAAGAATAGATTTAAAATGAAACAAAAGTAGATGTAAAAAATTAATTACTTCTAACAAAGAAAGGAGTAAAATTGGAAGATTTAAATCAATTTGATATTGATTAATAATTGCAATAAACAGTATAATAATTTCCAGATGAGCAAAAATTTTATGTAATTATGATAATACTATTGAGATAGACTATATATTTGTTTGATCTAAGTGAAAATCCAGAACAAATTGTATACCCATTTCCTAAATATGAACCTAAAATGGACCTTAAGTAATTGTTATTATCAGAATAAGCAAAAGAAACTCTTGTAAATTTAAACACAAATATTCTTAATCATGAGAAAATATTCTTTTAGCATCTACAAAACTTAAAGAATAAATATATACCTTATTAATAAAAGGTAAAATAATTAGAAAAGATTGGATAAGATTTGGAAAATCAAATATAATCATTTGATATAGTGTTAAAGATGAGTAGAATTACATACAAAAATACAAAAGCAAAGAAAGAGGAGATGACAAAAAAACAAAAAGAATCTTTAGATAGAAATTTATAGACAGTTAAAAAATTCGATGATAGTTTAGAACAATTAAAAAAAATAGAATTACATTCAGCCTTGCAAACTAATTCATAAAAATATTTAAGTGATATCTATTATAAACCAGAATCAATGCTTAAATGGAAAAATAGTTGTTTAAATACTTAATAAAATTTAAAATAAAAAATAGATAAATTAAATTAAGCTATATAGAAATCTAAATAAAAGATAAAAAATGAAAAAACTGAAAATATGACTCAATGTTTGTCAAGTTATAAAACAAATTAATAATAATATTAATAGTTTATTTAAGAAAATAAATCACTATTGTAATCAGTGGTCTAATCAACAATAGATGGTAAGAGTATTAATTATAAATAGAATATAATACTTTAAGATAATATATGATTGATTTTTCATAAGATATTAATGATGAACCAGCCATGTATTATTTATCATAATTTGAATTAACTTCAGAATAATTGAAATAATTTGAAGATTCTGTTATTCATTTAGGTGATCATTTAGAAAAAAGTATTAAAAATATTTATCTTAGCTAAATAAGTATTTATGTAATTCACTTAACTTAAATAATAAAATATGTCAAAGATTTTAAAAGTATTTTCAAATTTAAGAGTTCTTGACAAAGAATTTGAGTAACATAATGAAAAAATTAAATAATATGATGAGGAAGTAGAGAAAATGGAAAAAGACTTTTCATATCTTTTAAATCCAGTTTTATTACCATAAGCTTATTAATAAGCATTGATTGAAACAAGTAGAAGAAAAGAATTTAGAGATATATTTGATAAAAAAGTTAAATCTTTGATGTCTTTGATTGATTAAGAAAAAGATAAAAGAAAGAAATTTTTATAATAGTATGGTAGAATACTTCCTTAAGATTTTATTGGTTAATTAAAAAACTTAACTCCATCTATTTAAATCATAAATGCTTTTGCAGATGCTGAATTACCAAATATAACAGGGTTACATACTGATACATTTAAAAAACGTTAAGATAATGATCTTGATTAATTAAAATAATAGATAGAAGATTTAAATTAATAATGCAAATAAACTCATCTTTTTTATTAAGAAAAAACAACTAAAAAATCTTCCACATATGTTGAATTATTATAGTTAACAGCAAAAAATTCAATGAAAATGTTTATTTAAAGAGCTGAAAATAAACCATTATCATCAATAGATTAAAATTCAGAGAAAACTTAAAGAGAAAATGATTCAAAGTTAATTAATTTAAAGAATGAATTTAGTGAATAATTAAATAATTAAAAATAAGAATGTGAAAAATTGAAAATTAAATTATAGAAATAAGAACAAGATTTTGAGTCTAAATTAATTGAAATCGATACTAAAAATAATTTAATTTCAGAACTCTAATAAAAACTAGATATCTTATAAAATAATACAGTCAAACTAAAGGATGAATTAAATAAATTTGTTAGCAAATGTGAAAATTTGGAAATTAATTTAATTTAAAAAAATAGTGAGATTTCTAAATTACAATCTTTGTAAAAATAACTTAATGATTAATTAAATTAATCTAAATAGATGTAATAAGATTTACTTAAGCATAAATAGTCTTTATAATCACAGAATGAAACTTAAAATGATCAAATTAATGAATTAGATCTATTAAATAAGCAATATCTATAATAAGTCTAGGATTTCTTTTCTTAAGTAGAAACTGTTTAAAATGAAAATGAAAAATTGAAATAGAAACTGAAGATGGTTGAATTAGAAAGAGATAATAAATAAAGTGAATTAGAAAAATAGATATAAGTTTATAATGAATTATTAGAAGATTATATAGAAAAGAATTCTTAATTTGAAGATTTAAATTTAGAATAAATAGAAAAGACTTAAAAAGACTAAAAATTAGAAGAAAATCAAAAAGTTTTATTAAATAAAATTGACAATTTAGATTTAGCACTTCAATAAAAAAATAATGAAATAATTTTATTGAAAAACCATGATTAATTGCAATTTTCAAAAGCATAAGATGATTTTAAGGAAGTATAATTGTAATATGAGGATAAAATTAATTCTTTAACTTAAGAAAATTTAGAGATGACAGTATAAATTTAATCTTTAAAGGGTTAAATTGAGTACTTAAATTAAAAACAGAAATCTGACAACATTATTGAAATACAATAAAAACTAAAATTATTGGATCCTTAATTTTAATTTGATTTATCTTCAGTTTAAATTGGTAAATAGAGCATTTTCATTCCAGCTCAAAATGATGTTTATGTTCCATTATTACTAAAAAACATTTAGGTTTCAAATATATCTGATGATTCCTTATCAAATACAAGTTTAGATTCATCAATCAAATAGAAAGTATATAGAGTGTAACTAACATCAATTCCATAGGCATTAAGAGAATTTATTATGTAATTTGTATTTAAATTTTAGTGATACTGGTTTGCTTTTTATAGCAGAAGTTATCAATATCACAGAAACTGAAGAGTACTTTTAGATTAGTGTGAAATAACCAAATTATATCATAGGATTTGAAGGTTAGGATAACTAAATCAAAAGTTTTACTTTATGAAAATATAATTCATTTTAAATTATTGATATTTATCTATTAATTTATTTTTAGTCTCAAATTTATCAAATAAATACTAGAAATAAGTTCTTTCATCTAACATTTGAAATTTAAATGCTGTCACATCAACTATCAAAATTTATATTATGTATTATAGAATCGATAAACTCCACAGCCTAAAACCTTAGAAATCAAAGTCACTTAATTTTTCGTATACACATCACAACACTAAGTCTTAAAAGAAAATATTTTCTATAAATAATTCTATTTTTGGCTAATATATAGCAAAATTAGCTAATAAAATAATTTGAATAGAACTAATTTTATCTAGATTATACACCTCATTTTTCATTAATTTCAAGTATTAATTAGCTAATTGTTATTTTTTTTTTTTATTTGAGCAATTTTCTCATCGTATTATAGCTGAAGTTAGCCTAACGCTGCTTTATAGAATGAAAACTTTTTTTTTAATTATTTAATTGTTTGAATGTAATTATATTATTTTATATAAACTATTTATATATTTTTCGTAATTGAATTGATCATGTTTAAATTTTCTTGTTTTGCAAATATTGCATTTAAAAAAATTGCTTAAAGAAATTCTTTTTAATAAATTGAGATGCTAAAATTTTGAATTTATTTTTTCTAGTTCTATCAACTGAAAAAGAAATTCTAACCCAAAAATGAAGAGCTAAGTATTTCTTGTATTTTCATAAATGCTGTTATGTTAATTAAAAATTATGAAGAAATCCATTTTATTAATACATTATGGTGGGATTAATAAAATCTGAATATGAATAAAACATTAAAATTTAATAGAAGATAGCAGTAGCCATCTGAATAGATGGGATTTTGTGTTCAATGTTATAGCTTCATTCCAATCTAATAGATTGACTCTCATTGTCTTAGTTGTATGGAGAGTAAAAGAAATAATGAATATTGTTTTGAGAACATATCGTTTTAATTAGATCATATACATTAAGTTGCATCGAATAGAATAATAAAATGTGAATAGGGTTCTGAAAAGTTAAAATATTTAATAAGAATTTAAGAACTTTGCAAACAGATAGAAAATATAAAATGTTATAATATATTGAGTATAAAGAAGTTAAAAGATATAGAGAGTGAAGTAAAGGTTCTTATTTCTTATCCTCCATAATCTGTGACTGTTATAATGCTATTAACAAGATTAGAATCTCTTTTAAAAGAAAAGTTAGAATTATAAAATTAACGAAAGTTAATTACTTATAATTCTATTCCTTTAGATAGTGAGGTAAGAATAAAAACTGAATAAGTTGATAGTGAAGGTAGCAACTCAAGATATAATTATAGAAGATATTAATCTGAAAATAATTAAAAATAATAATTAGAGTTTAAGAGAAATTTTTATTCTAAATGCCTTGAAATGAAAGTCAATCTACCAAAAAGTCATCCAAGTCAATAAATTTTGGTTTAAGAAATATATAATTATGTAATTAGAAAAAATTACAACTAAGAATAGGCTTATAATTTTATATAAAAATGTTTTAGTGAATAGAAAAACAATTAAGTATGAATTATCTTATTTATATATTATATACTTAATAATATATTAAATATTAATAAAATTGATTTGAGAAAAAGGATTTGATTGAGTTTATAAATAGATAAAATTAAGCAATTTAATTAGCCCTCCTCATTTTGTGTATTTAATTTAAATGTTAAAGATTGATAAAAATAATATGAAATTTGAATAATATAAAATATAAGTTAATAATAAAATAAATGAAATCAGAATTTAGATGGTTCAGCAGTCATAGGTTCATTTGAATCATGACAATAACCATTGAATTAAGCTAATATTATTATTATAATATATACCTTAAATAGAATTACGTCTAAGCATAATATCATTTTCTTTAGTATCTTGATCAGTATCCTAAGTTGATCCTCCAGAATTAGTACAATTGCGTGGTAAATATGGAGCTTATAATTCTTTATTAAGTAATTTATTCCATTCAAATCCATTAAACCATGGATGATTCTTTACAGCTTCTGGATTATCAGAACCTAATCTTTAAGCAGGTTTTCTTTATATTAACTAAATTAATTATATATAAAGATACTTAATTTGCAAAATCAGCTGCTTCTAATGACCATGAAATAGGTATTTCATTTTTTTTAATTTAAACTTGTTTTGCTAATACATTATCTCTAATTTCTTATCTAGATCTTCCAATATATGGTCTTCTCCCCATCATACATTCATAAACAATAACACCTAATGCAAAATAATCTACAGCTATTCCATGATTTTATCTGCATAATACTTCTGGTGCCATATATCCTGGAGTTCCACTTGTATCACTTGAATTATCTGGCCTCCATATTCTTGCTATTCCTAAATCTGTTAATCTTAAATATCCTTCTTAATCAAAAACCAAATTCTCAGGCTTCAAATCTCTATGAATTATTCCTTATTAATGCAGATATTCTAAAGCTATAATAATACAAGCACAAAAAAATTCTAAATTAACAATTTATGTTACTCGTTTCTTCTTCTGAAAATCTTTTATTCTTCCCTATATGATATCTAAGATCTCCTCCACTTAATAAATCCATCACTAAATATAAATTCTCTCTATCTTAAAATGCAGCAACCATATTTATTAATGATGGATGTCTCAATTAACATAATAATGTTCTTTCATTCATAACTGATGTTACACTTTTCTTTGCAATTATTCTAGATTTCTATTATTTTATATACTTTGCCTTTGACATCATTTTCAATGCAAAATAACTTTTATTTTTTCTTTTCTTCACTTTCCAAACTTTACCAAAACCTCCTTTACCTAAAACCTCTATAAACTCAAAACTATGAACAGATAAGACTATAAGATATATCTATCTAAGTACTTGATGTATCTCCAAACTCTTTCTTGTCAGTAATGTTACAATTGCCCATTATTTAATTAATTTTAAGTTATAACTCAAACTCAACTTTTTCAATTGTTTTTAGATCCTTTCATTTCCCTTCTCTATCTTTTATTAAATAAATTATTTCGATTATTCTTTAAAATAATACATTTGTTTCATATAATCCTTCTATCAATTATTATACTATTTGATTCATCAATAAAGTTTACTTTATTTTACAATTTAGAGAAGTATAAGCATTATAAATATTTCAATTTAATCTTAACTATTTCTTCAAGGTTCTGTTCAAATAGATGAATTGTTTTATTCAAATTATAACCCTTAACTCACTCTTTTTTTGTTTATAGAATGTGTTTTTAAATTTTCAAAATCCTCAAAATTTTATGATGATTATTAGTAATTATTATTCATTTTTTTTAAATGTTTATATAAGCATTTATTGGAAAAATAAATTTAAAAAGAATGAAGTAAATACCTTGGTAAAATGAAAGATTAATAGAATTTTTAAACATTTTTCAACTATATTCTGATTTAATTGATAAATAATATTATTCTAATTGGAATATTACTATTTATATTATGTAAAGTAAGATAGAGTTGTAAAATGTTTAAGATTATTTGAATTTTTCAATAATGCTTTAAAAGTTCTTTTAAATAAATACAATAACATTTGTAGTATGAGAATGATATTGTAATTTTAATTTGGATAATTAATAATAAAAGTAACTAAATTTGAAAGGAAGAAAAACAGCTTATGATATATAACTAGTTTTATGATTTGATTATCTACTTAATTATATATAAAATAAGAACAAAATGATATGACGTATAATTGGAAGTGCCTCTAATCGTTTTAGAATAATGTGAAAAACGGATAAATTAAATAAAAACGAAAACTAAACAAAAAAAACAATAGATGTCGAGAGGTTAAATTATAATATATGAGGTAGATATGTATGAAAGTAAATCGAAAAGAAAGAACGACAAACGGAAACAAAATCAGTAATCTCCGATGGTAGATTATGAGAATGATAAAAAAAAGGTGGGGAGATGGACACCTGAAGAGGATGAGAAGCTTTAAAAATTGATTGAAGGTTTTGTATAAAAATTAATGAGTAGAATATGGAGAAAAGAGTTGGCGAATCATAAGTGACATGATGGAAGGTCGTAGTGCTATATAATGTTTACATCGATGGACTAAAATACTTAAACCAGGACTAAAGAAAGGTAGTTTTGAAGTATTTATAGTTTAGGACCTTGGTAAGATGATGAAGATGAGAAGCTATTAGAATGGGTAAAGAATAATGGACCTTGTAAATGGTCTTTGTGTGCTGAAAATATTGCAGGAAGGTCAGGAAAACAGTGTAGAGAACGATGGTTTAATAATCTTAATCCTAATGTTAAAAAAGGAGGATGGACATCTGGTTTATATCTAATCACTATTCGTAGAGGAGGATCATGAAATATTTAAAGGCTATCTATAGTATTCATCATCTTGGTCAAAAATTGCTAAGAACTTATCAGGTAGAACTGAAAATTCGGTTAAGAATAGGTTTTATTCTACTGTTAGAAAATTATTGGCTGATTAAGAAAAAAATGGAATATCACTTAAAGTAATTCCATTTCATTTATTATATATTTAGATGCTTGAAGCCTAAGGGGAAAACGGTACTTCTGCTTTATAGACTTTTGTTAAAGAACATCTCTAAAAATATGAATAACAAATGTAAATGTAAATGGAATAAGAAGAACCTGATTCAGATAAATCAATGTAAGAAGAAAAAGTTGAAGAATCTGATATTAAATCTGAAGATGAAGATGATAGCAAATCTAGAAAGAAAATGTAAGCAGAAACTTATTAAGAATAAAATTTACTTTATAGATTACTTAAATAATAGGGAGGACCTATTAAAAGAACATCATGTATGAAAGATTATTCAACTATCTATAAAAAATATAAAAAAAGGTATAATCAAAAAAAGAAAGATAAAAAATTGTCAGATAAAGTTGAGAATCTCAGAAAAATGATTCTTAAAAAAGATGATTATAAAAATTCATCAGAAGAAAAAGAATTAGACTTTTAATAAAATCTTGAATAATAATTAGCTAATTTCTCACAATAAAAAATGGATGCTCAATCTCAAAATGGAGATTCTGATAAAATGAATGAATTTTAAGAAAAATTATTAGCATTTTTCAATTAACAATTAAATGAAGTCATGAAAAAATTTTATGTAGAAATGGGAGATCCAAAATAAGCCAAATGGTAAATGATTTTAGCTCCAGATGATAATAAAATTTAATAATAACAACAATAATAATAATAACAATAATAATAATAATAATAATAATAATAATAATAATAATAATAATAATAATAATAATAATAATAATAATAACAATAATAATAATAATTGCAAGAAAATAAAAAAAAAACGAAAAGACAAATTGCTAAGAGTGTCAAAGTCAAAGAAGAAGAAGATGAGCAAAATTAAATGGTTATGAATACATTTCTTTAGAAATTTAATCATCTTGGTTAAATTGGAATTACTTAATTAGGGTATTATATTAAAATTATTTTAGAGCAAATGTAAATGAAGGTAAAAATGAAACCGAAAATCAAATGGTTCAAGATGCAAAAATTGATTAAAAAATGATGTTTTTAATTAGTTAATTACATACATTAGAAAATATGTTAGGTGATACGAAAAAGGAATTCAGTAGACTAGAAGCTAGTCTTTATGAAAAAATCAACAATACTTCATTTCACTCTAATAATTCGAGTGAAAAGAACTGATACTTAATTATTGTTATTTAAATTCTATGATTTAGTGTCAGCCATATAAAATAAATTAATATTCTTTTATTTTATTGTTTACATAAACTAAATATAATTAATTCTAACTCGTTCATCATTAAAATAAGAATTAATTGGTTGCAAAATAATACTATTTTAATGATAATCATTCAAAATAGTTTCTCTCTTAAAAGTTAAATTTCAAATTATCGATTTCTAAATATTAAAAACTTTTTGCTTTTCTTTAATGCTTTAACGAATTTTCTCTAAAATTAAAAAATAATTAATTATAATTAAAACTCAAGATTACGATATATAGATATATGTTTGAAAAACCCCTTATAAAAGAATTTCTGAATCATAGTAAATTTCTTATATGATTTAAGAAAAAAAGGCTTTGAGTTGTTTAAATAATAACAAAAAAATAATTTTTGTTCATTATTGAGATCTTTTGATCAATTGAAACAAAACTTAACTTCTAGAACTTCAAATCGATTATTTTTGAGGTTTTTATTGACTCAAACCTTTGTTTTTAGAAATCTTTTTGTTTATTTGTTACTTTCTAATTTTACTTTTAGAATCTTCTTATTATTATTTTGCAATTTCTACTTCTTAAGTTCTCAGTACTTTATGATGAATAAATTGAGAAAGCTTAATAATTTAATCTGTAAATAATATTTATTTGTCTTAAGTATATGCAACTATGGCTAAAGCAAGTTCAATATGAGAATTTTTGTAAATATCGAAATCTATATTAATTTAATAAAATACCTAAAAGAATAAACATTAATAAACTCTAGATATTTTCATTAATTTCAATATTCATAGCCATCAAATAATCTGATGAAGTTATGTGGTTTAGCTGAAATCCCATAACTTTTACTATCTATTCTTCCATTTCATCATAATCTCTATTCTAATATAGACTCTAACCTTTAGAATCATATAGTTTTATTTAATTCATCATATTTGTTTCATTAAACTAAATGTTATTTCATAATTACTTTAGATGCCAAAGAGTATGCTGAAATTCCTAATAACTACAAATATTCTTAAGTTATCTTAAAATAATTAAGATAAGTATCAATATATATGACTGCTAGCTCTAGGGTTTTTAGAGAATGCCCAAATTGAGAAGCTTACTAATTATATATGAAAAAAACTACTGCTACTATCCATTAAACTAGTATATCTCTCCTACATATGCCTTATGAATCAATTTAATAGAATTCATTCAACTTATTTATTGGTTTAGACTAAGAAATTTTAAAATATAGATACTTTTTCTCTATTTAATAAATCTCTTATTATAGAAGAATAAGCCATTCTGATTTATTATCTGAATAATAATAATAAATCTAAGTTCCACTTATAATTCAAATTTATAGGCAAATATTAGATGTATCCGAATATTTTCATATATCAAAGTAGAAATTTAAATATTCCAGAACAAAAAAATACTAAAAAATTATTTGAATCCATTTCATTACTATATCTAAGTTGATAGTCTCTTTACTAAACTCAAATAACAAATAAATAATTGTAAAAACACATTCTAAATTTTAAAATTTGCTATTGAGGTAACTAACTATCCTCTTTAATGGTATATTATTATTTAAACCCAAAATTAAACTTATAAGTTAAATATTTTTTAGATATTTATTTATAATATATATATTGATTAATTCTTAATAAATATTTATCATGTCTTATCAATTTTTGATGAATATCATAAGAAAAACTAATATTGTATTCATCAAAAAATTTAACTAAGTCTTCTAAGCCTCAAATATTAGCTACTTTCAGGAGTTTATCATCATTGTTTCTGCCATTAGAAAATTAATATTTTAAAAAATTGCTAAGGGAAAAATAGAGATTAGAGTCCAAACATATTATTTTAGTCAAAATATTTATATTGAATTAATTATTTTTCGGGTCTTTATGATGAATGGTTCTCTTAATTCAATCTTCTTTCTTATAAAAATAGAAATGATTCACTCCATAATCTCTATAATTTGAACTTGATCATCAATAATAAAAATGCTTGCATATTTGATGTCTTATTGTATAATACCTTTAGTATTACTGGTAACTAATACTTGAAAGAGTTTATATTATAGTTTTTTAATATCAACTTAGGTTAAGTCATGACAATAATTATTATTAAATTTAGTATAGTTAAATAGTTTTATTAGATATCTACCATTTTAACATTATTACAGCTGCTCCCTTTATTAATTTTATTTAATCTTTACCTTCCATATCAGCCGAACATATTTATATTGTTTTATGATTTATTATTATACAACAGGTAATCTATCATTAAATCTTATTAAAATCTTATCTCCAAGTTATTATTAATAATATAATTGCTCATTTTAAAATTAATATCATTAGACAATACTTAATTTTTATTTGCAAAAGAATATATTCTAGAAATCCTCAAATTATTAAGATCAATAAATTAATCTTATATTTAAGGATCTAAATATTCTACAAATTGCTGTTTCAAAATATAAATTCTTAAAATTAACCGATTTCTGACTTTTTTCACTTTAAAACTATTGCATCATGAGGATTTGAGCAAATATTGTAATGAACAATATAAAAAATAATTAAATAATTAAATAACGAAATAAAATAGAAAAAAATGATCACGGCCAGTCTCGAACTGGCGGCCTCGTCCTTGTTAGGGACGCGTGATAACCCCTACACCACGCGATCATATATAACTATTATAACAGATTTCTATAGATTAATATTCATAATAATTAACAATATTCTTTTTGTTTCATTTTATTTTTTGTAACTAAAGTCAAATAAATCTTATAACAACAGTCTTTAGTAGAATTAATATGTTTATATTTATTTCTAATTCAAATAATAGCTAAAGCTGTTTTCAAATAGTATTTAAAAGAATTCATAAAAAGAGTGATTTATTTGAAAGATTGAATATAATCATATTCTTTAAAAGATTTTTAGTTGAAATTTAATTGAAACTTTTATAAGTTAAACAAAATCATTTAATTTTATTATTTAAACAATTCTCCTTTAAGAATTTGGCTAATAAAAATGAATGAGCTTAATAATATCTCTTATTCTAGTTTAATAAAATATTATGTAATTATTCAATTTCATTTGTTGTTAATTTATATATACAGCTATACAAATAGTAAAATCCTATTTATAGTAAAAGAGGAAGAAGCTTAATAATTCATCTTATTTAAAAGATTTTTAGTCATTTTATAACGAATTAAAAAGAATCAAAAATTTACATTTAACAAAAATGGTAGTCTTTTGTAAAATTGTTATTAATAGTTATTAATACACAAATAGTTGAATCACAATTTTTATAGAAGATTTTAGTAACATGAAGCTTTTTATCGAGTTCTAAATAAATTATATATATATATGAAGCTAGTATGATTATATTTATTTTGGATTTTAAAACATTTATGTACTATAATTTACAATTATTCATTATTCATAATTCATAATTCAAAGTTTTTTTTTTTCTAGTTTTTTTAATGCTTTTACTAATTAATCGCTTATTTTACATAACATGTCTGCATGTTCAATATCTTTGGTTTTTTATTTTTCAATTTATTTTAGTCTTTCTTTTAGGATTTGAAATTCACAATCTTTTTGTGTTAATTAAATTTATAAAAGTTCTCTTTGTTCCTATAATCTTTATCTATCTTCTTTTAATATCTTGATTTCACCTTCATAAGTTAATTTAATTCTGTCAATTTATGCTTAATTTTATTCTTTACTATCAAATATAGCCTTATTGTATATTTTTTCTTTTTCTATTTCAACTCTTGCTTCATAAATATCATCTAATTTTTCTTTTAAATCCATAAATTTTTAGTTAATATCTTTTAAAGTTAAGTTAAAAGTTTATTAAGTTTATAATTGTTAATTCTTTAATTCTTTTTTCATAAATAAATCAGGATTTTCAAATAGTTCTCCCTTTCTAAATTCAAGAGGCGATGTATTATCCAATTCTAATAATTTTTTTTCATACATAATTCTTTCTTCTTATAAAGTAATTTTAACTTAATCTAATTGTTTATATAAATTTTCCTTTTCACTCTTTAAAATTTCTTATAAGGTATTAATTTAACTTTTTAAGACATTAATTTCTTATTTATAATCTTCTTCTCTTCTCTAAAAATTCAATTACATAGTATTAGCAACTTTTTCAATAATTTACATAACTAATTCTAAAAATGATACATAACATTCATGATTAGAAGGAGGTTTTGCTTCTTGAAAGTAAATCTAATTAAATAATAATACTAAATAATACTTTTTTAATATTATTAACTTAAGCAATAATATGTTATACATTAACTAATTTTCCTTATTCTGAAAGTTAATTTAAGATATCATACATTTTACTAAAGTAATTTATGAAAATAATACTTTGAAATAACTTGATTAATTCTTTTGGATTTAATATAATTTTCTTAGAATATGACTTAAGATTTTTCAGACATTTATTTACTCAATTATAGAACTCCTTCAATCTATCTTTGTGAAGCAATGTGATAATTGAATATCGATTCTTATGCTTTTACACTAATGTGATTTAAATTGGCAAATAATATTTCATAAGTTGTAGGTAGAGAGATTTCAGATGATAAAATTTCTTTAGCTTTTTCCATCATTTTATTAAACTCTTTAGATATAATTCTATCCCAAACATTTTCAATATTAGGAACACTTCCATTATTAATAGTAGTAACATATTAAGTAACCAATTCAATTAATCTTTTTCCATTAAGAGGTGTATTTTTATACATTTTTGGTTATATTTCTAATAATGTATTTTAGATAAGTTAATTCAACTAGATTTTAAACTCATATCTTAATTCAGAATATGGTACTTGATCAAGTTCTCTTAATTATCTTTCATCTGCAACAGGTCTAACTAAAGTGTAACAATTTCTTCTCTTAAAATATTTAGTAATAGCTTATCTAATTAAATTTCTTTATTTAAATTCATCAGCAAAACCTTATTATTCATCAAGACATTCCTCTAAATAAGTATTTGGAGTTGAACCTTACAAATCTAGACCAAAATCTCTTATTACCCAAGTAATTGATGGAAGGTATTAAGTGATAAATTCATCATCTCCTAATAAATGCTTACTAATATTAGTTGTAAATGAAAGTGTTTCTAATGATTTCTCATCAATTACTTACATCACGTTGTAAAGTAAATTAGAACTAATTAAACATGCAAGAACTAGCAACCTAGCATCGTTATTTTAGTCTCTTTCATACGAATCTGTTATTTTACTTTAAAAATATTACTCAATCCTTCTGTGTCTAGAAGAAGAATTGTAAGATTATCTGATTCAACTCTTTTGCCCCAAATCCAAATTCCTTTTGTACAAGGATTTGTACTTGATCCTAATGCAAATCCTGTCTATTATCCTGCAAATCTATTTAACAAATAGGACTTTCCTGTCCTATATTATCCTACTATTGAAATTATTGCTATATTTGTTTCAATCGATTAGATGAATTATACAGCCTTCTTAGACATCAAGAATTTTCCATCCTCATCTATATCAATGAACAATATCGGTTAAGCAAACTCTTATTACATTCAAAAATAATTTATTATAAATATTTATTTATAAACTCTATAGAAAATTTATTAACTTTATAGAAAATTTATTAACTCTATAGAAAATTTATTAACTTTATTGAAAATAACTTCAGACATTGTAAATCTAATTAAAATAAAATAATGTATATTATAATAAACGTATTTATTATATATGATTATAGATTTATTCATGAGAAATTATTTTAATAATTACAGACATAATATGAGAAATACATTAAACAATATTTGATATTTAATAATTATATTAGATAATGTTATTTATCAACGATAAAATATTATCTAAATCTTCTTAATTATATAATTATGAAATTATATATAAATTAATATGAAGGCATTAAATTATTTATAAGAAAAAGCAGAATAAGAGGACACTGGCTTTATTCCATTTAAAAATGAAAGAGATGAATTAGGAAATCTTAAAGGCTTGACAAAGAGAAGTATTTCAAGAACGAATAATAAAAAAAGTGAACACATCTTTGATAGGACAACATCAAATACTTCTAAAACATCTTAAAGGTAGAAATTAAATAAAAAATTATAATAGAAATAAAAAAGTAAGATTTCTAAAAGAAATTTATTCAGCACATGGAAATTCTGATTGGTGCAGTTTAACAAATTTACGTAAGCTAGATAAAAGATTCTAATTGAATATTGATACAGAGTTCTAAGTTCAAAAACCACTTACAGGTTTGAATCAAAAGTTATAATTTAATGAAGGGATTATTAGAAAATTTACTACAAACATCTGTAATTCACCTAGACTTGGTAAAAAATAAAAAACTGAAAATTCTATTCCTCCTTTGGGTTATTATTAACCATAAGAAATTTTTAAAAAGTAACCTATGCTCGTATTCATGGATTAATAAATTTCAATTAACAATAGATTATCCTAACATAAATTCAGTAGAACTGAAGCATCTACTGCTTAACCTGGCCTTAGGTAAAAATATTCACCAAATAAACATTCTCCAGTTCCCTAAGAAATATTACAGAAAGCTTTTAAGACAGAGAGAATCATAACTTAAGAAAAATACAAATATATTCCTTAAATGGTTGATGAAAAAAATCTCGATAATATAACAGCTAGAATTAATTTTATTAGATAAAAAATCTAGCATTCAAAAATCAACAGTATATCGAATTAATGATTCTTGTACTTATTTATTAACAAAACTTAAATTTCTTATCTACCTTAAATATTATAATATTTTCTTTATGAATTTTAATTAAATATATTCTTATTTCATTGTTAATATTTTTATTATATAATTATCATATTAATTCAAAAATAAATGAAAAAGGTATTTTTATATGAATTGATTTTTGTTGCTCATGTTAAATTTTGTATTTTAATACAAATGCAATCAGTAATATTACCTTTTCAAAATCAAATTAGTAGATTTAGATAATTTAGGATCCCTTAAAAAGTATAATAATAGAATTTTACTAATAGAGGAATTAATGCTAATAATTATTCTTATTTGATTTATTTAGTTTCTTTGGATAATGTCTAGGGTTAATGTTTAAATAACCTTTTTGAAAATTTTAGATTAAATTAAATTTTTATAATGGCATGATATAGATAATTTTCTGTTTTGATAGAATATAAAAGTATTAAATATTAATAGATGTTTTAATTTGCTAATAAAATATGTTAATTAGCAGGAATAATAACAATATTATATATTTGAAAATTGATTAATTATCCAGTATATGAATTTCGTAAAAAAATAGAAAATAGAGAACTTAGTGATAATGTTGTTTATAATTAAATTTATTCAAATATAATATTTTTAATATGTATCTAAATAAAGTAAAAACATTAAATAAATAGAATAATTTAAGTTCTATTTATATTTTTCATAGACTAATAAAAACCAATATTTTTTTATGTTAATAATTATATCTCTTTAATTCAGATTCATCATTACAATCATATTTTTATTTCTTTTTCTTTTAGAATATCTACTAAACCTTTTCTGTAAATTTATGAATATATTTTATATAATATTAAATTTAATTATTATTATTATAATGAACTAAAATTCATTTTATGATTATGTCCACCCACAATTGAAGTACAGTGTGTTTGATAGTCATATGCTAATCGATAGAGAAGAGAAAAAGCGGTATTAGGAACCTGTAATCTATTATTATATGTTAGGTTGTAACTAAGGATTGCAATCATCCAAGATTCTGTTTTGAAAAGAAAGAAGCCATTTAATAGATCATGTTAAATAAAATTTATAAATGTCCATAATGTCAAAAAATTGCTAAAAATGTAGGTGATTTAATTTAAGATTGGAGATCTTAAGCATATCGAGAATTCAATTAATACATTACTGAAGTTACAGTGATTAGAGGAATTATGGTTAACAAATATGTCAGAAATAAAACAAGATATCAGAACTTTTTTATGTAAGAAGTTTATTAGAATGAATTTTTAAATATGTTTGAAAGAATTAGTTAGGAAAACTCTATTAATTTTTTAATGAAAAACAACTTAAGCAGTGGTTAAGATTAGAATAGAAAAATTTAATTTTGGAGTTTCTGTTTGTTAGATAAAGTAAAAATTACTATTCCTGTTAGAATAATTGGATGTAAGCATTATGAGTGCTATGAATTAACAAGTTTATTATTTTATTAGTAGTAAAACTATTAAAAAAAGCAATTCTTAGAATGCACTCAACCTGGATGTTCAAATAGATTAAAAATTGCCCATTTAGATTACACATTATTATCAACTTAATAATTTGAAAATAATTGTGTTTAAGAATAAGATATTCAAACATTATTTGATGGTATTTAAATAGATTTTGATTTATTAAATGCAATAAAAAGAAGTCATCCAAGTTCATACAAATTTTATTATAATCAGGGCACTTAAAAAATTGAAGAAGATGTATAAATAATTAATAACAAATATATTGATCCATTAATAGAGAAATATTATTAAAGTAATAAAGAACTTTAATAAAGATAATAATTCGATGATTTTTAAAATTCAATATTATAATCTGCAATTTCGGTAAGTTAGGGAGATCTGTTGATAGATGAAAAATAATTAGGCATAAGAATAGCCTTATATAAATATAGAAATTATAAAGTAAAAATGGTAGATCTTTTAACAAATATGATAATTGAATACCCTGTAAGATGTAAATTCTGCACTGATTTAAGTGTTTGTATGGATATGAGAAGTTATATTGCAGATTTTACTTATTAAAAAAAGATATTCCCAAATAAAAATTATACTTGTCCTCTATGTAAAACACCGTAAAAAGTATCAATGATTAGAGCAACAATTTAATCCAACATATATCTTGATTCAAACATGCTTTCATATATGTTTACAGATATGTCCTATACCTAAGGAACTTAAGTATTTGAATATAAAGGTTAGTAATATATGCTTTAAGAATTTATGGATAGATAAAAAATCAGAAGAGAAGACTATATAG